ACCGCACGATGACCTGAAGGAAATCTGATCATAGCGATATCCCTGCGGCTCTCTCCCTCTTCAACTGAAAGAACGTCCCGCTGCGAATCCACTGCGGCGTTGAAGTCAATATACCTCGCTGGCAGCAGTGGAGGACAGGGATGGTCCAGAATCAAGAACTCGATGGTACCACGTCCGATCAGGGAGGCTGGAACGAGAGCCTTGCCGACCGGAGTAGATTTGCCACCAACTCCGTTTGCGGCGGGGAGGTCGGTCTCGCCCTTGTTGACATGGATCTTGTACCCGCGCTTCTTAAAGGCTCTGACAATTCGCCCAAGATCTGAATATCCCACCAGCGCGCGTCCCGCGGCCGTATCAACCAAGGCCGAGGTGCCGAAGTTGGTGAGAGAGATCTCGTCACACAAGGGAACAGCCACGCTCGAAAGCTCGGCGAAGTTCAGGAAATCGTCAAAGCTGGGCTGCGAACTGCCTGTCTGGTCGGCGTCCGGCGAGGCGTGGAAGTAGCGTGGGGCTCCCACGGCGCCTTCTTCCTTAAGTCTGTCGGCTTTGCTCCAGAACGGCTTCTTGCAATCCTCTCTCCAGCGCCCTTTGTCTCCACAGATCGAGCATCGTGAACGACGCTTGAGGCCCTCTCGATTGACTCCACGGGAATTATTTCCCTTGCGCGCTCCCATGGGATCTCGACGACGATCGAAGAAGTCTCGATCCATCCTCTCGTTGGTCTTCCGGGCCCTGGCATCTTGCCAAGTTTTGCGGCGAATGCCCGAAGTCAATTCAGCAAAGATGTTCGCTATCTCATCCTCGGCCAGGTCCTGAGAGTCAAGCGAAACCAATATGGCGTTGAGCTCTTCCTCCTCGAACTCTGTCTCGAAGATGGGAGTGCACGTCTCATCCTCGCGTTCGATTTCGCCCTCGGTGGGCTCCTCTATGGTCGCGAACGTCGGCTTGGATGAACTCTGAGCTGTCGGGGGCCTCGGAAGAACCTGCTTCTCTGAGGCGCCCAACTCCAGGATCGCGGCTCGTGCTGATTGAAAATTTTTGCGACCGTTGGGCATCGACCGCAGATTCACGCAATTCTGCCCACTTAGACCACAGCCTTCTTCGCAGTATCTTGCCTTGACGGAGTCCGGAAGCACCGGCCCCATTCTTTCGGCCGTGGCCAACTGATTGTCTCTGCGCACGATGAAATCCGCCAGGCTTTCTCCTGTCTTGATGGAAAAGGTCAAACATTGCCTCACCATGTGCTTCTCGCTCCTTGTCGCCCGGCCTTTGTCCAACTAAATGCTCGAGGTGGGAGATGAGCCTCATCGCGCCGTCGCTCTGGTCGAGTGTAGACCGTATAGCCTGGAACTTGGCCAGTAGATCACTGGAAAAGTCTCCAACATTCGCACCGCCTGAACATCCCGGCGATAGGCCGCCCTGCTCGTCCAGGAAGATATGCTCGACGCGCACAGCTTCAGATATTCAATTCCCAGCCGGGGGGGCGGGGAGGAGTAATCCTTGCTCTGTGGTGCCGTCGATGCGCCCCAACTGCCCCATGACCACCAGCGGTTCCACTGGGGGCCCTGCCATTGGAAGTCTCTCCAGCCCTCCAGGGCCCACCAGCTCTCGGCTCGACCGGCCGCGGCCTGCTGGGCTGGCTTCCAGGGGTCCTTACCGTTGAATTGTTCTGTGCCTGGCGAGGGCGCATCATGGGACTCGCGTGGTACGGACTGACTCTGACCCGCTCTCGCACTCCCAGCAGCGAGCTCCTGCCAGATCCTGCCGGTCTCCACCAGCTTCAAGCTCCCCTGTGGCCTCGTCCACGCTCCGGCTACCATTGTCAGCTGGCATGGGAGACACAGTATTCACGCGTGCATGCGAAGATCTTGTGGAGCTCTCCCCGAGAGCACAAACGGCAAAACAATCACTGAGCACGCGAGTACCCCTAAAGCCCAAAGGGCTGCAGAGCACGCTGCCGAGGCGCGGCCCGACCTCGCCCCGGTGGCCCTGGGCGCCCGGAACGCTTGCGGGTCGGTCCGCCGCGCGGCTTGCATGCGCCAGCTGGAGGAGCTAGCCCCCGAGCTATTCCCTTGCGCCGAGCTCTTCTGCAGACGAACTTCCAGGTACCTCTACCGGGATGGCCGCGGGGAGTGCCACGAGCTGAGCGCCACCGGCGGGGTGGACCAAGGGGACCCGCTGGCGTCCCTTCTCTACGCTTGCGCAGCGAAGCCAGCGCTGCAACAGCTGGAGGACGACCTGCGCGCGGCGGCAGCGGCCGCGGGGCTGCCAGCCGACGACGCGCGCGTCTTGGCCTACCTCGACGACGCCATCGTCCTGGCTCCCGCCGCGCCCGCAGCGCAGGTGCTCCCCGCGGCGCAAGTGGCGCTTGGGCAGGTCGGCCTGGAGCTGGAACCGAAGAGAACGCAGGCTTGGCCCGCCCGCTCGCCGCGCCCGGAAGGGCTGGAGCCTCACTGGCGCCCTGCAGGCCAAACGCTGGTGGGGGCACCGCTGGAGACGCCACGGCCGCCCGACCTGCCCGCGGAGAACGACGGGCGTAGCTTCGCCTTGGGAAAGCCCGGCTACGCGGAGGAACACTGCAACAGCGTCGCGGCCCCGGCTGCGAACCTCTGGGGCAAGTTGGCCGACTTGCCCGCAGAAGCTTCGCCTCACTTGGACGCGACGCAGGCTGGGGCGCTCCTGCTGCGACACTGCGGGACAAGGAAAATCACGCACCTGCTGCGCGCCTCGCCGCCCGACTGCACCATCGCCGCGGCTGCCGCCTACCACGAGGCGGTCTTGGAGGCTCACCAGCGCCTGCTCCGCTTAGACCCGCGGACGTCCTCCAACCGGGCGCAGTGCAGACTGCCGCTACGTCTAGGCGGGAGAGGGCTCCGAAGCCAAGAGGAGATCGCCCCGGCGGAGGTTCGGGCGAGGGCGGGAGTCTCGAGGCTGGACGACCTGGAACAGAGAGCACTCCCGCTGGCCGCTGCCTGCCGAGCCGCCAGCGCCGCCCTGAGGGCGCCGCCACCAACGGGCGCGGCAACCGCGCCGCCGGCGCCGCCGGCGGCCGCGCCGCCCGCGGCGCCAGCGGGGGCCGCGCTGCCGCCGCCGCCACTGGCCGCCGCCGCGGCCGCCACAGAGGGAGAGGCCGGGCCGACCTCGCCGCCGAACCTCGCAAGAAGCTACAGAAGCTGCTCACGCAACGGCTAGACAAGCAAAACCTTGCAGCCTTGCTAAGCGCTTCCAGCCTCGAGGAACGAGCGAGCCTGCACTCCTGCGGCGGCCCGCACGCGGCCGGCTGGCAGCTGGCCTCGCCGGGGGCCGCGGGCCAGAGACTCGGCGACGCAGACTACTGCGCCACGGCGCGCGCCCTGCTGGGCCAGGACTGCGCGCCCCTTGGCGCCCGCTGCCAGAACCGCACTCGCACGGGCCCGCGAGCCGGACAGCAGTGCGGGGAGCCCCTGTGCTCCAAAGCGCGCCACGCCTACCGGTGCGCATGCGGCGGCGGCGTAGTGGCGCGCAGCCGGGCTGTGGAAGACGCGTGGGAGCGCATCCACAGGGAGTGCGGCTACCACACCGCGCGCCAAGTCCCCGTCCCCGCATGGGACCGCTGGAAATGGCGCTGAGCGCACTGCAACGCACGGGGCACGACGCTCGACCCGCCCACAGGGCCACGCAGCGGGTGCGGGGCGCCCCTGCAGAACGAGCGCGAGGAGGCCATAGGCCATCCTGGACCTCGAGGCGCAGGCGCCGGGATGCCTGCGCCAGTTCGCGGACGTCACCGTCCGGTACTCCGTGCCTGGCGATGCCGAGCACCTCGCGGCAGCGGCGCAGAGGGACGGCGCCGTGAACGCAGAGGCCGAGGTCGACAAACGGCGCCGCTACCCGGCCGGGCGCGCGCCGTGGTCCGTCCTCCCCCTGGCCCTCGAGACGGGGGGCCAGCACGGCAGGGCCGCCCTGCGCCACCTGCGGATGCTGGCGCGGAGCCTCGCCCAGGAGCTGGGGGAGGAAGAGGGCAGCCCCGCAGTCGCCAGCGCCCTGATGCAGCGCTGGGGCGCCGAGCTGTCCGTCGCGTTGCACGGGCGACGGCGCGGCAGCTGCGCACGAGCCTCGGCGGTGACCGGGCGGCCGGCGCGGCTGCCCTCCGCGAGACGGCGGCGGGTTGAACCCAAGCGTGCTGCGGCGGCGGGCCGAGCCGGCGCCGAGGCGCAACCGTGCGGCGGTAGTGAAGCTGTTCAACCTCATCGTCGCGCAGCCCGTGGTGCTCAGAGGGTGTGGCGCGCTTGTGCTCTGACCCGCTTCATGGTCGCAGGAGGAAGAGGAGGAGGAGGAGGAGGAGGAGGAGGAGGAGGAGGAGGAGGAGGAGGAGGAGGGGAGGAGGAGAGGGGGAGGAGGAGGAGGAGGAGGAGGAGGAGGAGGAGGAGGAGGAGGAAGGGGAGGACCAGGTTGGAGGGAGGAGGAGGAGGAGGAGGAGAGGGAGGAGGAGGACGAGGTTGGGAGGGAGGAGGAGGAGGAGGAGGAGGAGGAGAGGAGGAGGAGGAGGAGGAGGAGGAGGGAGGAGGAGGAGGCGGGGGCCGCTGGGGAAGCCTGCGGGCAGCTCTCGATGAGGCCACTCGCCGCAGGAGAGGGCCACGATGGGTGACGGGGCCCAGAGCCGCCGACGCCGTCCTGAAAAGCGCAGGGCCTCGAGCCAGATCGCGCGCAGCCCTGTCGGATAGCGAGCATGGGGAGACCGCAGGCACTGCCAGCTCAGGGAGCGTCAGGAAGGGAGGCCCGCGCAATCTGCCCGTGACCCCCCAAAAGTGCTGATTCGCTCTAGCCCTTCCTCCTTCTCCTCCTCCTTCCTCGCAGGCTCCCCTTCTTCTGCCCATTCCTCTTCCTCCTGCTCGCCGTCGCCGTCGTCCTCCCCCTCCCCGGCCCCCTCTCCCACTTCGTGGGCTTGAGCGCATCAAGCGGCCAAGGAGGAACAGTGGCCCACGCCTCCAGGGCCAAGCGAGACAGACCGCGGCGCGGGCAGCCTGTAGATGTCGATGCAGGCCGTGTTCCAGAACTCGCCCAGGCCCTCGCAGACACCGCTGCCCATGCCGACCACCAGCCTCGCGGGAGCGAGCGGGCGTCCCGAGGAGACTCCAGGGCGGCGGGAGGTGGCGGGCACGGGGAGAACACGTCGAGGGGTGGGGCAGCTGCACAGGCCAGCAAGGGGACACGTTGCCTCCTCGCCCTCTCACTCTTTTACGTTCCCCCCACCTCCTCCTCCTCCTCCTCCTTCTTCCTCCTCCTCCTCCTCCTCCTCCTCCTCCTCCTCCTCCTCCTCTTCCTCTCGACGGGGCAGAAATGGAAATCAGAAGGCAGAACGCTGTGTGAAGAGACGAGTGTGAAGAGGAGTTGCGCTCGAGCCTTCCTCCTGGCTTGATCCACACATCCCCGTCACCCTCGCCCTCCTCCCCCCTTCGTCCCTCCACCCTACCCTTTCTACTCCCTCCCCTATCCTCTCCGCCCCTCTCCCCACCTCATCCTTCCCTTGTCATCCATCCTCCTCCCCCACTTCATTCCTCTCTCTTTTCTTTCTGCCCCCCCGCCCTCTCCGCTCCTCTCCCATCCCCCTTCAAATCCACGCCACTTGCGAGCACCTCCCGCGAAATCAGCAGCCCGTGCGGAACGTTGGGAAGTCCAGGAAGCCCTGGAAACCTTGGAAACTCTGGAACGAATCATGATCATGACCTCTTGCTCCTCTGCGAGGAATCCCCAAGCCTGGCGCAGCCTCTGCCGCGGCCGAGCTCCTCATCGCCCTGCCGGCACCGCCCCGCGAGAGCCGGCGGCGGGGACCCGCGGACCGACGTGGGCCCTCGATCGAGAACGCGAGAAGGACAGGGAGCGGCGGAGGAGGTCTTGCGTGTAGCGCAGGTGGGGCAACGGCCCGCCATGCTCGGCACTCAGTGCCCCGCCCCCGTGGCGGAAGCTGTTCCTCATGGGCTTCCTGTGTGTGTGTGCCTTCCTCGGCACTCCAGCAGCGTTGCTGCACCCTGGTACGCAAGCTCGCCTTGCCACTCCCTGCGTGCTTTAAGTCGGGCCTGTCCCCCTACAGGCCGATTTTGGGCGGAAAATAAAACATATCCCCCAACTACTCTCAACTGGTCAAACCAATTCTTGAAAACAATCGTTCCCCGACTATGTTTTGACTAGTCGTGAGTACGCCTCCTGCAGAGGGACAGGCCCCACTTAACGCTCGCTGCCCGTGCAGGCCTGTGCTCTCGCACCCTCCTGCGAGCTCTTCACGGTCTCAGCCTGCTCCGCCGCCCGCGGCCTCCATCCCGGCCCCCCCCCTCGCCTGTCCCTCTCCTGCTGTGCCTGCTTTGGCCCCAGCGCGTCCCCCGGCTGCCCCGACCGTGCCTTGGACCCACGTCGCCGCGGACGAAAAAGTATGTGAGGCGGGGGACGCGGAGGAGGAGGAGGCGAAGCGGAGGTGGAGGCGGAGGAGGAGGCGGAGGAGGAGGCGGAGGCGGAGGCGGAGGCGGAGGAGGCGGAGGAGAAGGCGGAGGCGGAGGCGGAGGCGGAGGAGGCGGAGGCGGAGGCGGAGGAGGAGGAGGCGGAGGAGGAGGCGGAGGAGGAGGAGGCGGCGGAGGCGGAGGAGGAGGAGGAGGCGGAGGAGGAGGCGGAGGAGGAGGAGGAGGAGGCGGAGGCGGAGGAGGCGGAGGAGGCGGAGGAGGCGGAGGAGGAGGATACCGCGCAGCGATCCACGCCCTGCGCCTCCGCCGCCGCGTGCAGGAGTGCCGCCGCGCACGAGCGACCACGGGTACGGCGACGACGACGACGACGACGACGGCGACGACGACGACGACGACGACGACGGCGACGACGACGACGACGACGGCGACGACGACGACGACGACGAAGAGGGGGTCAGGCTTTCTTACGGGATCCATGCTTGATGGCCTCGGAGCCTGGAAACGACATTCAAAGGGCCGAAATCGATGAACACCTGCAGGTTGAAAGAATCATACAGTCGAGGTACTGCCATAAGGAACTCTAGATGAATAACAAAACCCCTTTGGCCCCAAAGGCGCCTAGGAGCACGAGGAGGGCTAGAGGAATAGCCACGGAAGAGCTGAAGGAACAGCGGTCCCTTGAACTCAAAGTGGTCCTTCTCTTAGCGTCTTGGCTGTCTCGCCGGAGATCTGGGATCCATTTGTGCGCTTCCTCGACTTGTGGTGGGCCGCCTCGGGCCTGGGAAGGCCAAGCGTGCACGACGGGCGCTCGGGTAAGAACTCGGTTCTCGGCGGCCGTTCGGGACGATCCGAGCAAGCCCGGAACGCTCTGAGCGAGGCGCAGCCGCTGGAAAGCATCCCGAGGCTGGCAAGCCGCCGGTAAAGGACGAAAGCGTCCGAAAACCTCCTCCTCCTCCTCCTCCTGCTCCTGCTCCTCCTCCTCCTCCTCCTCCTCCTCCTCCTCCTCCTCCTCCTGCGAGCGCCGAAGGCGAGTCTCTCTCGACTGCGCCCACACCCTCGCGGACACTGAGCTTCATGAGCGACGAGACGCTCCTCCTCCTCCTCCTCGATCCTCCTCCTCCTCCTCGGTCCTCCTCGATCCTCGATCCTCCTCCTCGATCCTCCTCCTCCTCCTCGACTCTCCTCCTCCCTCGATCCTCCTCGACCCTCGACCCTCGATCCCGAGAGCCTCGACCCTCGAGGCGGCCCTGGGATGCCCCCCCCCCCCGGGGCCTGGGGAGGTCGGCCGGCACGGCGTCGAGGCTGCGCAGCATGTTCTGGGCGAGGTCCAGCATGCCTCGGGCGGGCTCTCTGCGGGGGCCCCCGGCGCGCGGTGGGTGCGGCGTGCGGGGCCTGGCCCGGGCCTCCTCCCCCGTCCTCAGGACTTTTGGGTCCTCCCCTCCCTCCCTCTCCCTCCCTGCCCTCCCCTCCCCTCCCCTCGCCTCTCTCCCTCTTGCTTCCCCCCTCCCTCCCTCCCCTTCCTCCCCTTCCCTCCCCCCCCTTCGCCCCGACTCTCCTCTGCCCCCTTCTCCCCTCCTCGCAGGGGATGGAGCGCAAGGATGGAGAAGGAACGTGAAGGGGGAAGGGGGGATGAGGAAGAGGAGGGGGAGACAGCACGAACGCGTGGGAGGCTGAGCTTCGAAGGTATCGAGACCTGCTAGATCTCCCGCAAATTACTAAGCATCGGCGGGATGATATGATGCTCAGAAGTCACGTAGGTGGTACCTTCCTTGCGCCCTGGGACATCAATGTTCGCGCCCTGCCTGCTTCTTACCTTTGCTTCATCCCTCGCTCTCTGCTTTCTCCTGCCAAGACTCCCTTCCTCCCCCTCTCCCTTTCCCTCTGCCTCTCCCTCTCCGTCCCTCCCCCTCTCCGTCTACATCTCTCTCGCTCTGCCTCTGCCTCTGCCTCTCTCTCTCTCTCTCTCTCGCTGTCTCGCTCTCTTTCTCTCTCGCTCTCATTCTCCCTATATGCGCGCGTATGTATGTGAGCATCTACTGTTATGTAAACACATACATATATATACACACACTAACTGGCGTGTGCGTGTGTGTGTGTGTGTGTGCGTGCGTGCGTGCGTGCGTGCGTGTGTGTGTGTGAGTGTGTGTGTGTGTGTGTGCGTGCGTGCGTGCGTGCGTGCGTGCGTGTGTGTGTGTGTGTGTGTGTGTGTGTGTGTGTGTGTGTGTGTGTGTGTGTGTGTGTGTGCGTGCGTGCGTGCGTGCGTGCGTGCGTGCGTGCGTGCGTGCGTGTGTGCGTGTGTGTAGGTTTGCGCCTCGAGGCGCGAAGTGGAGTGCCCCCAGGCCCTTCGGAGCCCTCACGTCTTAATATGGACTAGCGCAATTACTCTCGAAAGTTCCCAGGGCCCTGAATCCCAGAGCTTTTCGCGTGCCTCCTGGGGCCGGTCGCGCGTTGTCGCGTGACCTTTTCCGACGCCAGAGCGCGCCAAGACGGGCCAAAAGTGTCCCACAAGGACCCCAAGACGGTCCACGAGGGCCCTGAGACGGCCCAAGAAGGCCCCAAGACGGCGCAAGAGGGCTCCAAGAGGCCCCCACATGAAGCCCACAACATTCCACTCGGCTTCCGACTCGGCACAGACAGCCCAAGACGGACGGCCCAAGAGGCTCCTAAGACGCCCCACGAGGGCCCGACCATTGTTTTTTCTCCCGTGTTTGAATTGTTTTAGCGTTCTCGCCTGTTGGACATCCGACCGCCCAAGTCGGCCCAAGAGGCGCACAAGATCGCCCAAAGAGGGCCCACGGAAGCTCGCAAGACGACCCAGGAGGGCCCCATGACCCAAGATGACCCCCCAAGAGGGTTGGGCCCGAACAAGCCCAAGAGTGAGAACACGAACTGAGATTTCGAGCGCTCCAGCCCAACATGGCCCCGAGATTCCGCCAGAGGCCCCGAGGCGCCCCCAAAGAGGCCCCAAGAGGCCTCGAAGAAGCCTCCAATGTGCCCCCAAGAGTCCGCAAAAGATCTCCGAGAAGCCTTCCAAGAGGCCCTCGAGAGGCATCCCGAGACACCCTGATATGGGCGACGGAACGAAGCAGGTCTTACGCGAGAAGACATAGGACCTCACGCGGTGGCTTACGCGAGCAGCCAGTGCGGCACGCTACATTGAAGACGAGTGCGCTTATGCGCGAGCTTACGCGGGCAGCTTACGCGCCAATGTCGGTGAAGACGATCCAATATCCTTCCGTCGCTCATATGCATCTGAGAGGCCCTGACCCACAACCCAGAGATCGGGTGGTGGTGGCCTGGGCAGAAGGCCACTACGTAGATCCGCCGCCCCATGTTGCTTGCCAAAGAGTGCCCAACACAGTCGATGGCCTCCAAGATGGCCTCCAAGACGGCCCGACAAATTCCAAAATGGCCTCCAAGATGGCCCAAGACGGCAAAGATGGCCTCCAAGTCGGACGCGACGACTCCAAGACCGTCTCAAGGCGGCCCAGGAGGCTTCCAAGACGCCCCAAAAGTGCTCCCAGAAGCTCTGCAGGAGGACCCGAGACTATCCAACGGTCTTTGAGGAAGCGCTCTCGCCTTCAAGGGTTTCTGGTGGCCCCCGACGCGGCCTCCAGAGGCCAAGAGGTCCCTCAGAGGCCCCACGAGGCCCCGGGAAGCGGCTGGGAGCCTCGAGCCCGAACCCCCTCGTCGCCTCTCCCGTTCTCCCGGGGCTGCGCCGCCGTGCGGCCACACTGGTGGGCTCCGGCGCTCGCGGGTCAGCGACTGCGACCCCCCACCCCCGCACTCGCGGGCAGAGGCAGGGCGGAGGCCGAGAGGGAGGCAGAGGGCAGGGGAGGGGAAAAAACATGGGGGAGGGTGAACAGGAGGGGCAGAGGAGGGGCAGAGGGGACCTCAGACGGCTCGACAGAATCTGCGAGAGGAGGGGGAGAAGGGGAAGGAGGAGGAGGAGGAGGAGGAGGAGGAGGAGGAGGAGGGGGATGAGGATGAGAGGAGGATGATGAAGAAGTTGGCGCGAACGCCAGTTCTCATCCTTGCGTCCCGTGGGCTTCAGGACTAAGCGCAAGGAGTGAAAAGGGAAAACCACTCCCCTCACATTCTTGTGAAACCGATTGCGCAGGAACAAGCAACAACGACTGCATGAACCTAGTCTTCAAGGGTAACCACCCCTTGAAAATAACAGCGACATCTCAGTTGAACCTGTTAACCCCCGTTTACCACTTTTTGACAACGGTCGATCGACTGACCGCACGGTCTACTTCGACAAACAACTCAAATAACTCAAAACAATGAAAAACCAGAGAAGTTGAATTCAACGAAGCGTAAGCGAAGAAACTTCTGACGATTCAGAAGGAACAAACATATTTTTGCGATGCAGGGGTAATTAATTCAAACACAACAACAACTGTGGTCTGGAAACTAACATGTTGCGCTCTGAACCACGCTGTTTCAATTTCAACGCGCGCGAACATTAATGATTTCAAACACGCCCCTTGCGCGCAACGACGTCGTCGTGCAAGCGCCGCACAAAAAAATGACAGCGCTGGGCTGCCCTGACGAGTTGAACGGAGCCCGCCGGAAAAAAATCTGCAACAACATCTTGGACGCGACGGTCACCCTAGTCTGGCAGCGACTGCCAGGACTGATGGGGGAAAGAAGGAGGAGAAATGAGGGAGGACGGACGACGGGAGGAGGTGGGAGGAGGGTACAGCAATATATATGGAGCTGGACTCTGTCATTTTCAACTTTTGATGGGATCGTTGATGTATGTAGCCTGATGCAGCGGGGGAGGGACGAGGGCGAGAGGAGTGGGCATGACGGAGAAGCAGGAGATGGGGAATCAGAGGGGGAAAAGAGGGGAGGGACCCACTGAAGGCAAGAGTGACCCAAAAGGCAAAAATTACCTTCTGTGCGCAGCCTGCCGATCGCTGCGATCGCTGCGCTCGGTGCGGCAATGGCGGCCTGCGTGCTTGGGTTTTGCCCCCCTCACACACACACGCACCCCGGCCCCCCCCGAAAGCCGCGCAACAGAGGCCACTCCAGCGAAGGGCCCCTCTTCCGTGCAGCCGGAGGAGGGGCGACTGACGCCTGCTCAAGCGAGAAGGGTTTGGCCCCCAGAGGAGGAGAAGGAGGAGGAGTGGGAGGACGAGGGGGAGGAGGGGGAGGAGGAAAAGGAGGAGGAGGCGGAGGAGCGAACGACGCGCTGAAGGGAGCGCGCGTCCGCGGGTTAGAGGCGCAGCGGGCCCGCCCCGCCCACGAGGCACCGAGGCAGCCTCAGGACGCGACGAACGGCAGCGACCACGTCCTTGTGGTACTTGAGCTCGTTGTGGATGGCGGGAGTGCCCATCTCTGTGTGCACCCGCAGGATGTTGTACGTGCGATAGGCCACGGCCATGCGTGTGATGGTGTGCCTTGGGATGTCGTCGATGTTGTTGCTGTCGTGGGGTCCGAGTCGAGTGAGGACATCACCAGCAGGTTGTCCCCGAGGTTGAGCCAGTAGTGTCCACATTCGTGGGCATGTAATGTAGTGGCTGATGTCGTCCGTGTTCTTGAACTGCGAGTCTTTGTCGCGGCCGAACAAGCAGTTCTTCTTGTGGGGATTGACGTGCATGCGGTGCGATGTCGTCCACGCACCAGACAAGGTCTTGACCACGGGCCAGAAGAGCGAGGCGGTGGAGTTCGCCAAGTGGGGCCGCAGGTCGCGCCAGCTGCGCTCAACACTCGCAGGGAGAGCAGCTCGGCCAAGAAGTCCGTCACGGTCGGATGTATCGGAGTCCATCAAGATGTCATTGGCGGAATAGATGTAGGGTGTGGATGTGGCCGTAGTGGTAGACTGAGTGCCGTCGTCTTCCTGCGGGAGGTTCGAGTTGGTGGCACGTTCCCGTTCGATCCAACGACGGCGGGCGCGGTGCTCAGCAGCTTCATCAGCAAATTCTCGATGAGTGTTTGTCGGCATGTGCTCGGTGGAGTAGATCTGTATGCGGTGGTTGCGAGATCGTTCAGTTCGATGCCATGCACCGTAACATATCTCCTTCGCCATGTCACGGCGAGCATTGGCTGCCCCGTACTGGTCGTCGAGGCAGAAGTGCGCATTGAACTGGGTGCGGTGAAGAACAGCTGTGATGTACGGGACGCACCATTCCATCCAGTCGTTGAAGTTGTCCATAATGCGGCCGAAGAACACGCTGGGGATCCATCTTGCTTCCCATGCTTCTGCCCGTTCATTCAGGTACTTCATGGAATCATGATTGTCGTTCCCATTCGGCTGCTCGGTCGTAGCAGGTGCCATATGAGGTCCATTGACAACAGGTAGTAGTGGGAACCATGCGCGGAA